CATGGTGGCAAATTGGACATTTGTTTAATTTTAGAAGCATTGAATGAGGCATTAGAAGTGGTCTTTAAAGTGCCTTGGCACTTGACCATTTTATGGTAAATGTTACCATTTTATAAGGGTTTTTTCTTTTCTATTCAGTTTGTCTGTAACTGCAGCAGAATTAAGTCTGGTTGGAAAACCAATCTGTCTTAACGGGTTCATAGTTTATACCTTATGTAGCAACTTGGAAGAAAACAGGGAGGTTGTCAGTCTGTAGCTTGGTAATACATACTTTTTTTTTTTTTTGTTTCCTTGTCAACAACTGATTGGGACCTCGAATGACTACAAATTAGTTTAGTGATGGGGCAACTGTCACAGATATCTTTGAATCAGTTGAAAATGAACAAGGTTGACAGGAACGTGAGAGTCTAATGAGTCCTTCAAATGGCTGATTTGCACTCAGTGGACAACTAGACAATAAGCTGTATGAATTATTGGAAATCAATACTTTGTTATGGAATTTCATTATGCTCCAATGCCTTCAGTTCATAGTATTTTATATTTTGATGGATTATCTGAAGCAAATGATCATCTAAGATACAGGGATTGATAAAACTCCCTTGTATAGTTTTAAATGTTGCTTTTGACTTGTTTTTGTGAAGTAGAAGTATTGATCTCTATTCATGTACAATCTTAGTCTATTTTAGAGTGGTAGATAAAACCAGTACTTTTAAATAAAATGTCCTGCAGATTTTTTTTTGTACTACTGTTTGGTTCCTAATCCATCATCTTTTGATGTTTTAGGAGACACAGAAAAGGGTCAAGCAAATCGAACCACTAAGAACAAGGACGCCCATGTCTGTGGCAGGTGCTGTGCTGAGTTCTTTGAATTATCAGATCTCCTGCAACACAAGAAGAATTGTACTAAAAATCAATTAGTTTTAATTGTGAATGAAAATCCAGCTTCTCCTCCTGAAACCTTCCCTCCTAGTTCCCCTTCTGATAATCCTGATGAACAGATGAATGACACAGTTAATAACACAGATCAAGTAGACTGCAGTGACCTTTCAGAGCATAACAAACTTGACAGGGAAGAATCCATGGATGTGGAGGCTTCCAGCATTAACAATAGCAGTAGCAGTTCCAAGAGTGTCAACAATAGTATTACAAGCAGTAACAGCTCCACAATGGGTACCTCAGCTGTAACAACCTCTCTACCTCACATAGGGGATCTGACAACATTAGGCAACTTTTCAGTGATAAATAGTAATGTAATAATTGAAAACCTTCAGAGTACTAAAGTGGCAGTAGCACAGTTCTCACAGGAAGCGAGATGTAATGGTGCATCGAACAGTAAGCTTGCTGTACCTGCCCTGATGGAGCAACTGTTGGCATTACAGCAGCAGCAGATCCATCAGTTGCAACTGATTGAACAAATTCGTCACCAAATATTATTGTTGGCTTCCCAAAATACAGACATGCCAACATCTTCTAGCCCTTCTCAAGGTACTTTACGAACAGCTGCCAACCCCTTGTCCACATTAAGTTCCCATTTGTCCCAGCAGCTGGCTGCAGCAGCTGGATTAGCACAAAGCCTTGCTAGTCAATCTGCCAGCATCAGTGGTGTGAAACAGCTACCCCCTATACAGCTACCTCAGAGCAACCCTGGCAACACTCTAATTCCATCCAGTAGTGGTTCTTCTCCAAGTATTAACATGTTGGCAGCAGCAGTTACAACATCATCCTCAGAAAAAGTGGCTTCAAGTATTGGTGGCTCACAGCTCAGCAACCCACCAGTATCAGCATCATCTTCACCAGCTTTTGCAATAAGCAGTTTATTAAGTCCTGCATCTAATCCACTTCTACCTCAGCCTACCCCTAGTAACTCTGTTTTCTCCAGTCCCTTGTCCACTATTGGAACACCTGCAGAGGATTTAAACTCCTTGACTGCCTTGGCGCAGCAAAGAAAAAGCAAGCCACCAAATGTAACTGCTTTTGAAGCAAAAAGTAATTCAGATGAAGCATTCTTTAAGCATAAATGTAGGTTCTGTGCTAAAGTGTTTGGGAGTGACAGTGCCTTGCAGATTCATTTACGTTCTCACACTGGCGAGAGGCCATTTAAATGCAACATATGTGGAAACAGGTTCTCCACAAAGGGAAACTTAAAAGTCCACTTTCAGCGTCATAAAGAAAAATACCCTCACATTCAAATGAATCCGTACCCGGTGCCAGAGCATTTGGACAATATTCCTACAAGCACAGGTATTCCTTATGGGATGTCTATACCACCAGAGAAACCAGTTACAAGCTGGCTGGACAGCAAGCCAGTCCTCTCCACCCTGACGACTTCTGTTGGCCTGCCACTCCCACCAACAATTCCAAGCTTGACCCCATTCATCAAAACTGAAGAGCCTCAGCCAATTCCCATTAGCCATCCTTCTGCTAGCCCTCCCTGCTCTGTCAAGAGTGACTCGGGAACAGCTGATCCCATATCAAAAATTTCCAATGGACTTTCTGATGAGGTAGAGGCTGGTGTTTTGCCTACCTCAAACAGTAAAATGGAAGAAAACCCTCAAAACACAAGCACCATCACTAGTGTGAGCAGCTCTGTGAGCTCACCAGCAACAGAGTCGGGCTCCAGCGGTGTTGCCACTTTTACAAATCCCCTTATGCCTCTAATGTCAGAGCAATTTAAGGCAAAGTTTCCATTTGGCGGACTATTGGATTCAACGCCAGCATCTGAAACGTCAAAATTGCAGCAACTGGTAGAAAACATTGACAAAAAGGCAACCGATCCTAATGAGTGTATCATTTGCCACCGAGTTCTCAGTTGCCAGAGCGCACTGAAAATGCATTATCGCACACATACCGGTGAGAGGCCATTTAAATGTAAAATCTGTGGTCGTGCTTTCACTACTAAAGGCAACTTAAAGACTCATTACAGTGTCCACCGTGCCATGCCCCCGCTGAGAGTGCAACATTCGTGTCCGATCTGCCAGAAAAAATTCACCAATGCTGTTGTGCTACAGCAGCATATCCGAATGCACATGGGAGGGCAGATCCCCAACACTCCAGTGACTGAAAGCTATCCTGAGTCAATGGAATCAGATACGGGATCTTTTGATGACAAGAATTTTGATGATATAGACAACTTCTCAGATGAGAACATGGAAGACTGTCCTGATAGCAGCGTGCCAGATACACCTAAATCTGCAGATGCATCACAAGACAGCTTGTCTTCCTCCCCTCTGCCCCTGGAAATGTCAAGTATTGCCGCTTTGGAAAATCAGATGAAGATGATCAATGCTGGACTTGCTGAACAACTTCAAGCAAGCTTAAAGTCAGTTGAAAGTGGGTCAGTGGAAGGGGATGTTTTGACTAATGATTCGTCATCTGTTGGTGGTGATATGGAAAGCCAAAGTGCTGGAAGCCCTGCTGTCTCAGAGTCTACCTCTTCCATGCAGGCCTTGTCCCCATCCAACAGCACTAACGATTACCACAAATCACCGAGTATCGAAGAGAAACCAGTAAGAGCTTTACCAAGCGAGTTTGCCAACGGTTTGTCTCCAACCCCTGCTAACAGTGGTGCTTTGGACTTGACATCTAGTAATACTGATAAAATGATTAAAGAGGAGTCTCTGAGTATGCTCTTTCCTTTCAGAGATAGAGGTAAATTTAAAAACACCGCATGTGACATTTGTGGCAAAACGTTTGCTTGCCAGAGTGCCTTGGACATTCATTACAGAAGTCATACCAAAGAGAGACCATTTATTTGCACAGTTTGCAATCGTGGCTTTTCCACAAAGGGTAATTTGAAGCAGCATATGTTGACACATCAAATGCGAGATCTACCATCACAACTTTTTGAGCCCAATTCCAGTATCGGCCCTAATCAGAACTCTTCGGTTATGCCTGGTAACTCGCTGTCATCGCTCATAAAGACTGAGGTTAATGGCTTTGTGCACAGCTCTCCTCAGGATAGCAAAGAAGCACCCTCTGGTCTAGTTGCTTCAGGGCCACTGTCCGCCTCTGCCACGTCCCCTGTCCTGCTCCCCGCTCTCCCCAGAAGAACCCCCAAACAGCACTACTGCAACACATGTGGGAAAACATTTTCTTCCTCCAGTGCTCTGCAGATCCACGAAAGGACACACACTGGTGAGAAACCTTTTGCCTGCACTATATGTGGAAGAGCATTCACAACAAAGGGCAATCTGAAGGTACTTTTTCCTCTTGCTGTTCTTAGGTTTCATTTTCTCCTTGCTGGGTTTTTTAAATTTTTTGCATCTGTTCATGTTGTAAGCAGTCGTACCTTTGAGTGTACAAATGGTGTGTTTAGTCAGCTCTGGTAGACCTAGATGGCCTCTTGTTCAGTGCTCGTGTTGGCAGCAGGTCTGAAGTGTAAGCTGGTTTTGATGCTTAATTAAAATTCATCTACCAGGAAAGACTGTCTATGTAGAGTGTGAAATGGAACAGTCAAATGATGGTAAGGAGTATTAAATAACAGAGAAATGCATTTTGTAACTCACACACCTCTTTAAGAAGTGAAAGGCTCTTGAATGTGCTGTTTTTCATAACTATCATGTAAGATGATGAGTGTTTAGTTCCAGAATTATGTTAATAGTTTTTTTAATGAGCATTACTTTAATTGATTATATAACTAACATTTTCTACTGATACGTGTTTGAAAAAGCAAATATACTTAAGTTTTAGAACACCAGTTGAGCACTTTACTGTGTACATTTTTCTGTTGACAGAGTATTTCTCTAGAGGTTGCTGCCAGTAATGTGAGATGAATAATTACTTTCAGGCCATTCTGTCTATATACGAGGCTCTCCGATGAGCAATCAGTAAAGGATACTTTCTGCCTGTCTGAAAAGGACGTTTATAGGCTAAAGGGTGTCAAATACAATACTTACCATTGCAATGAAAGTGGACATAGCAATTCTAGCCCTGAAAGCAGCTATCTGCAATTGACAGAATAACGTGAAGTCATTATAAACTAAATACATGTAATAATAAAA